CAGAATTTGCCCTACAGATACTTACATGATAACGATGGTTTTGTCATGCGGAAACTGGCCAAGTGACATCTCATTAAATTCCCATTGCAAGCGAGTTCTTGGTGAATACACTCCAGGCCACTCTTCCGACTCGTAAACAAGGGTATAACCCTTGAAAAGGAACTCGGCCAGAGTACGAAATTTCTGAAATGGCGCAACTAGATTTTCCATCACGTGCACCTCGTACTGCACAAGTAATGCAAGGCTAGCGAAGAGCAAAGACGCCATGATCCAACTTGAGAGATGTTTACTATTTGCCGATTGTCTGAGAAACAGCGCCCAAATTGTAAACATAACTCCTACAATGCTTTTTAATACATCGAAGTTCAAAATATTTTCTGGTTTAAAGAAGTCAATCACAAATCTTAGTATCACTAAAGTCACCATGAATGCAAGCCAACTAATCCAAACCTGTGAGGGGAAACCCACACGTCAAAATCCGAATTATCTGACCAGACGTTGAAGTTACAGTATATCAGGTCGCGTCCGTGATAATGCAATGAGAATAACGTATTCATGTAGTAAAATTGGTACCAAGGTCGCATAACACTTTTGAAAATCCATCGCCATGGCTGTTCTTTTCCAAAAATAAATTGATGAAAAGTGACGTTTAAAATATTGCTCATAACTAAGTACTGCGTCTCCCAGACTGAACATTGCTCCCTAGTAGGTGCGATATGGTACTGCCCTTTGCCACAGATCCCACCTGGTTTAAACCTATCTATGTATACTGCCCCGATCGAAACGTCGTTCATCCACTCGTGAGCGTGTAGCGACATTACAGTTAACGTCTTAATCTGCGACGTGTAACGAACCGGGATAAACATTGTTTTGCAGTAGGTACAGTAGAAAAACCATTTGAATTCTAGATGAATTAATATAGACGTTCGGTCTAGCACTTCTTGCTCTAAATCAACTGCGAAAACTCTGTAAGGCACCACATAGTCGTACCTGTGCGCATGCATCATTAAGTGGTGAGTGGGTCTTCGAAAAATAAGGATCATTGTGGAATGCACCAAGCTTCTGTGGACGTCACGAGTAAAAACCAAGTAGTCAAAGCGGAACTGGTTATCCTCAATGCCAAAATTAACAAAAACGGCTATCGTGCAAGTCTCATAAAATTTAAAGTCGCGCGCAACTTTCTCGTCTTCGATGGATAGGTTAGAAAAGTTTAGGCGCCCGCTGACAGTGAAGATCAAGGTATTTGGATTATTGACATGGATCAGGTGTTCTGTTAGGTCGGAATACTCGAATGTATCGTTTAATGTTACGAATTTGATTACACAGTTACAAAAATATTCAAAACTACCGGATGATATGCTATCTTTGCCGAACACTGATGGCACCGTGATCAGCAGGAGTGTAATGTGAATATGCTTTGTAGACATTTTAACATTTTACTAAAATATTTCAAAGCTCCTAACGTATTGCCGAGCAGTTGGTCTAGCCCTTTAAGACGTAAATGAAGAACTTGTAATTCTATTGGCCAAGAGCCTTAAAAGGGTTTTCATGGAATAAATTATGTTACGTTAAATGCGAGCGACATACATAAATCCATAACTTGCATATACATACGTATCCATTTGCGTGACTTGATATCAGAACATCCAATGACAAATATATGTACATATTTCTCCCGTTGTGGTGAACTAAGGCTTTCCTGGTTAATTTTATGTGGAGCAACGTTGAATAATTAACTAGTACCTTATAAGATGACATTTCGTGAGGTGTTCTTCACTATATTCTAAACATGTAAACTTAAGGAATAAATTTGGAATCTTTTTTCGTGCCAAGTATGCTGACCTACCTAATAATATACGAGATCATTTGCGTGCTAAATTTGAATTTTGTTTGCGCATGAAGCAACTTAACGAAATTGCAATTAATTTTAAAAAATTGAGATCCATGTACTGTAAATCTTACTGTCTTTTTAAACGACATGCGAAAAAATTCATAAGAAACACAAATACGAGCATTGATAATACAGTAGGATTATAGACCGTATAAATTAAAATGTAATGCAATCTAATTAAAAGTCATATAACATCTTTTGCGTTACATAGGTCGCATGATATTGATATCTTGCCAACATTACAGCCGAACCCTGGAAAATATTGACTGTTGATTTATAATCGGAGTGCAAACATGCATTTATTCGGCTTTGTTGACTATTTGTATAATGTCCACTGATGTATGGTAATTATGGGATATATGTATTGGACCGTCCAATTTGGACGAAGTAAATCAGCTATAGAGCTTTACCTAGTTAACGGATTTTCTGAACTTAAGTTAATTTATAACAAGCTTTTGTGTCAGGGATATTAGTGTAACGCAGTTGCACTGAATAAATGGATGCCATTTTCATATCATAACAGATCAACCCAACTTAGAAATTTTACAAATTTATACAAATTATCTCATAACAAAGTTATAAATGTTCTTCCAACCATAACACCAAATCATATAAATACGACCAAGTTCAATTTTTAGCATACATAATTGTAATAATAATCCTCAGTTACCTTGCTGAAATAGTTGACAAATCAACACAACTCTCTTCCACAGAACAAAACAACTTTTTCTAGCCGTTAACTCGGACGAAACTTAGCCAGTCCGTTACTTCGCGGCAATCAATTCTACCTAAGGCAAATCATATTTCAAAGGTTTATTAACCACATTTTGGATTGGAGTTCCCGCGACGGAAAGCATTTTCGAAGAAATATTTTTGCCCATAAACACAAAACCTGTCAAGGAATATGTAGTACTGCTGAATAGCATTAATAACGCCAAAATTGCCACACGTAAACTACCAGCTCCTGTTCCAGCTCGACAGGCTTACCATTTAAGTATTTCTCATGAAACAAGAAGAAAAGTACTAAAATACCGAAATACTTCAGTATTACATTCTGTTCTGTTCTCGGGTATGGGATGCTTCACTGTAGTTTGAAAAACGGCGGTTATGCTATCAATGAACTTTTGCATTTTTAGTTTCATAGATTTTGAATTTCTCCTTATTTTTTCTGTCACCGGTGACTGATTTAAAAGCCTAAGGGTCCTGTTGAGATCGTCAGTAGCAGCCCTTCGTATAATGGTAGATTCAATATCCGAATCTTGAGACTGGGACGAGGGTGATCTTGAGTCCATTTCTTCGTCGGAGAGCACAATATCCTGATCACGTTGTCCTTGATGAGAATTTGGTGACACACGTCCCCTGAAAGCAAGTTACATGAATGAGACACTGTTTTCTAATAATAATAAAAACATTTCAGCACGTAGAAATTAAAAAGAGGATCCCTCGATGAAGCTTTCAGTATCGTAATATATTATAAAATTAAGTCACTCTGTATTATTCATGTACTTACATTTCGTCATTATCTCCGTCAATTGTTTCACTCTGTGACGACTGGACTTCTTGAATTAATGGATAATTCTCCTCCCGTTTGGTCTTATAGCATTTATTCTGACAATTGGCACATAGGTAGTCATTCACGTCCCATTTAATATCAGATAAATTTTGCTTGTTAGATTGAAGTAACTGAACGGATATTTTTTTAACCGTTTTCGTCCTAACTTTTTTATGCTCAGCAAACGGGTCCTTACATTTTGGTAGTGCCGGTGGCATCTGAAAAAAATAGCGAAAAAGTAAATAAATAATAAAATGTACGTAACTTTCTTTTTACTATTTACCCTTTTAACCTTGCAACCACCTATTGTGTGGTAGATAAGTGTAGATGAGTTTGTGCACGAACTGTCCTAGATTATTAAAAATAATAATCGACCAACAGTTAAACCGTTGCAGTTAGACTGGACCAATTATTTTAACATTTGATCTCAATGTTATTTTTTATAAATTTTTAAGTAATAAGTTTTTTGTGGATCATTTGTCACTCAGAATAGAGCTTGAACTTTGCGGTGGTTGCAGGGCTATCTGCGACATACCTATGGTATGTACCCGATATGTTCAAACAATACTCAGCTAAATAAATAAATCCGTTTCTTCAATTTCTGTAATTTTCTGAACGATATTTGGCTAATTAATAACTAGTAATTGTAATGATGAAATTATTAATTTTGATCCATGCATCAGATACATATATTTTTATAATTCTTACGAATGCGGTGCTAATTACAGTGTAGCAGCCTGGGTGTAATGATTATACCCCGGGTTTCATATTCCCTGCTGATATCAAGAAACTTGATAATGGGATTATTTAATTAATTATACCAAACTGTGCCACTTAAATATTCCCATCATTTCATAATTTTAATTGTGAATTACTAATAATAATAAAAATTGTATGTACATGAAATTGAATATTGATTCATGAATATTTTATTTTTTATTTCTACTATTTCATTACTATTATGACCTTTAAGGTCGAATAAAGGTCAAACGTTGATTGAAGTATATATTTTCATTATCCTCGGAGTATTTGCTTTAATTTGATATGTGACTCGACACGATATGAACATGTCGAAAAACAAGGTCATTTTAGGTCACGGAATGTCGACATCGCCTACTGCGCCAGAATGACTGAAGATCACACCCTCAAGATTGCCCATGCCAAGTTTCGCCCCTGTAGCTCTATTAGTTTTGTCGAAATGAAGGGAGGAAGACTACAACTTTTTCTTGAAATATGACCCCATGCAGACCCACAGGGGAATTTGAGATTTCAAAAAACAACTTAAATCGAATATTTTAGACCCCGGGAGTTGGATTTTGCAAGAAAATCCACAAAAAAAAGATGAAATGCTTTTCACCGGCGAAAGCTCGTGGAAGTTGTCCTGAAGGATATTGGCATCCTTCAATGCAATCGTTTCTAACACATTGAAGGGATGCGTTCCAGACAGACCGACGTACAAACAGAGAATGAGCTAATCTTATATAGTATACGTTTATCTATGGGTTGGATTTTGAGGGATAAATATTCAAATTTTATTAGAAGTGAAATTTACGGATAGATAATATTTATTATTCCATACTTATATTAAATACATTTCTTTTCAATTTAACTGCTCTTGACTACTTGCAAAATATCCTAGAAATCGATTTTTCTTACAAAATTAGCACCAACTCTCTCCGCACGCCAAACCGTTTCAGGTTTCGCGCCGGATAGAACAAAATTTAATGTGGCCGCTCCAACAGAGGAAATCGCAATGCTGCATTTCTCCCTGACAAATTGAATGTCCGCTTCCTGCACTCTGGTAATGATGTTTTGACCAATTTCCGTATCCCAAATATTGTTCCTGGCTTTATTCTCGTGGTCAAATCCTAACCGGGTGTTCATTGACAAGGTGGCAGGAACACTCATTTGGTTGAATTGTTTCATGTAGGATGATGACGCTTTGCTCCCGCCTGGAAGACTTGCTGCAATTGTGCAAGTAAATGTGAGCAGACGGATAAAAATGCAATTTTATTAATGTCATTAAATAACCAAATATTACCTGCTAATCCTTTACTGCATTTAGAATCGAACCATTTCGCACTCAATTGCTTTAAGGCTGGTTCAGCTATCTCGAACTGAAATTTCTCCAGGCCCGCTTCAACAACTTGGTCGTCCACAGTATTCATGAATGTTTCAATTAAAGCTCCCGAACGTTCTTTAGATTCTTCTGTTACTGTCCGGTAAGTTGAATTTTCCTTCCCCTGTTTTTCTAAAAGTTTTGCTTCTTCATCAAAATAATCTGCTAAACGGTTGACATAGTTTTTCGCAAATAATTCAATAGGACTGGCGACTTTTTCAACCATTACGGATATAAGAGAGCCTACCATGCTTGTTAGTTTTATCAAATTACCCAGAATTCCTTGTCCAAGTGCGGAGCTCATTTTTTCGGTCAATTTAGACATGTAAAAATGCGCAACTCGGCGCATGGAAACTTGAAATGTGTGCGCGGTATCAGAAGTCCCGGTTGGGCCAAGGGCTTCTTTAGAATTTAGTATCGCACTCTCTAATTGATTAGTCCTATAGCTGGCTGCTAACACGGATTTCAAACTTGCCCGCAATCGTTCCTTTGCTTTCATGTAGACTTGATAAGATTGAGACCAAAATTGGAAGGCCACTTTGGCGCGCCACATGACCTTTCCACGCAACCAATCTAGAACCTTCTCAATCGTCATGTTTGCCACGATCGTGCCGACAGCTTGTAGAGCATAGCGACCAACGGTCTTTAGCGTCTTTTTCCATATCTCTTCCCCAACCTCCATCAATATTACGGTACCCCATGAGCCTCCTGTTATACCTCCCAATCCACCCGTGGCAATGGAGCAAGCCACACTGAATGCCTTATGGATGCCATAACTTTTCCAAGAAAATGATCCCTGCCAAGCGGAGTGCGCCGCAAAAATTAAGTCTCCTCCAACCTCACTTATCAGCATCATGGAAACATTTGCTAATGTTCCTGCCGACAAAATTGCAACCGCAACGCCGGCCGCGATTTGTAAAACTCCTAAAACTGCAACTATAGCAGCTCCAGTATTCCACCATGGTAGTTTCTCCTTAAGGACCGGAACCCGATCAAACCCCTCCTCCGCCAAAGCGTAATACTCTTCCGGAATTGCTTGACCAGTGTAGCAAGAAGCAAGCGAGGACGTATCTACCTTGATCGTTGGAATAGTCTTCAGCTTTCCTACAGAATCGTAAAGAAAATTCGAAATTTCTTCCAGATATTTTTGAAAGCCTTTTTCAAACTCGGTTTCAAACTTCCATTCCATAACGCTTCCCAGGAAACTAGCCGTACTTTCTAGATACGTAGTTTGCTTGTTTTCCTCAAATTCTTTTATGTGATACTTCTTAAAGATCTTCCTCAGCTGCCCGATTAGGTTCGATTCACCAGTTTCGGGGCTCCATCCCAATATATTTTCAATTTCCGTTTTCCTGTTCTCTTCTTTACCAAACCAAGTGCGAAGAGACCAAATTACTTTGGGTTGCTTGAGGACACCAGCACCTTCTAGAATACTGATGACATCATTAATTTCACGTTCCGTTAATTCATCACCGACAGAAACAGGCAGTAAAAGGTCTAAAGATTTCGTATCTATTTGTGGACAAATTTTGCTATCTGGGGAAACAAGCCACGTCGTGAGAACTGATTCATACCTCAGTAAAGATTTTGGAAGGCCGTGCAATTTTTTGTTGAAATATTTCAAGTGGCAATTCGATGCAATCGTTCCTTTGAAATGATTTTGCTTCAGAATGTATTTTTTGTTCAACAGTTCCTGCACTAATTCCTTCGCTACAGCGGCGCTACAATCTAACTCATCTTGAAGTTGATTTTCCAATTCAGGTTCATACACTGATTTTAAGTTATTCTCTCCCAAAATTTTCCCAATTGTGACAAGATATTGTTTAAATGATTCGCTAATTCCTTCCATTGTAAAGCGAGAATCATCATAAAATATTTGGAGAATTTGATAATCGTTAGCATCTTCCAACCACGATAGCATTTCTGGTTTGGACGTTTTTTCGTTATAAATTTCTATTTTGGCTTCCTTGATCATTTCTTTGATGTAGTCCTTGGAAACAACGCCTTTTCCCAATGCAGCTTGGTCAAAATGTCGGCTTCTCCAAGACAATGCTTCATTTTGTTCTGTCATTTCTTGAAAAATCCCCCTCAAACTGTCCTCAAAAAGTGATAAACCCAATTCATTAAAATCCAATGGTTCCCCGCTCAGTTCGACTTTTCTCAAATTAAATTTCTTGCTAGTTCTTAACCCCTTAATTAAATCTTTTTCGTTTAATAATGCCTCAAATATTTCTATGCTTTCGGCTTCTTCCTGTTTAACAGATTTCAGCACTTTGAAGGAATTTCCCTGAATTTCAAATCCCAAAGCCGGATACAAAAACATTTGTTCGTGGTGGGATAATAGTTCGACTTCTGTTTCCATTTGCTTTCCCAAATCCTTTAAATTTGGTTTGAAATCTGGACTCGTCATTTGGTCAAGATGTGATTTGAAGTTTGTGAAGGCACCTGTCATTTTATCTTTCCTTGAAGATATTTTCATCATGGCCTTCTTCAAAACCTTGCGTGCCTTTTCTCGAAGTTCCAAGTTGGCTTTGCCTCCTTTCGTTTCTTGTTTAAGGTAACACAAACCTAAGTAATAATGGAGGGCCTCGTTGTATTCCGGCTCCTGTTCAATCCCCTTGGTTAAGAGACTAACTGATTGCTCAAACTTCCCTTCGTCCTCGTAGGCATGAGCTAGCTTTAAGAAGTCGGATGGAGAACGACACAGTGTAGCATCAGAGTGTGTTACACTGTCTAATTCATCAGAGAAGTTATTGAACTTTTGCCAAATAATTTCTCGCATTCCTTCCTCGTTGATGTGCAGCATTTGAAGTTGTGACTGCACACTATCTACCCAGAAAGCCCAACGATTCTTCACAATGTGTATTTTCGCATCACGGATTTTTTCCTTGTCGTCGAATTTCTCCTTAATCTGTTTCATTTTCTTGGCAAAAACTTTAAATAGCTCTTCCTCCAGGATTATTTGTGGGAGTTGAATCTTTTCAACTTGTTCCAACCTTTGTGATTCCCTAGCCAACATTTCACTAAAATGAGACTCCAAATTAATGGCGATTTCATCCTGAAGGAGAACAATGTATTCTGTTGAGCCATTTTGTCCAGCACGTGCCGTTCTACCGAAGGCTTGCTTCTCAACTCTGACATTTGGGGGAATGTAGAGCAAGACAACGTGCAGCCCTTTGTCGTCACATTCGTCCGAAAGATTAATATCCGTCCCCCGCCCAGCCAGATTTGTGCTAATAATCACAGTCCCAGGTTTTATTTTATGTTTCTCCATCAATTTCAGAAACTTGTCATATTCCTCAGACTCGTAGATACAGATTAAACTATCGGGGTCTTCAATGAACAAAGATTTCAGCTTGGAATTAAGATCCTTGCATTGTTTGACATTCTCGCAAATAAACAAAATGGGTTGTTCCTTCCCCCTCTTTTTGATTGATTCTAGAACTGCTGATTCGTATTTGATTTCTTCACTTTTCTTAAAAAAATTTGGCGGAAGCTGAACACATCGTCGTTTCCTGAATCTTGGCATCTTGATAAAATCAACTTCATAAACTTTTTGTAAAATTCGTTTTGCATTACTTTCCCCAAGGGTTCCAGTAATGCCAAATATTCTTCCTTTAAAATTTGAAAAATATCCAACGTTCGATACAAACACCGCTTTCAAACTCTCTGAGCTGATCTTGTTTCCTTCTTTCAATTGTAGAAATTGGTGAAGGCCGTATGAATATTGCGTCTGCTTTTGTTCTACGCCTGTATCATTGTCAACAATTGTTACTTTTCCTTCCTCTCCGTCGGCAAGGATGTAGGGAACATTCTTTCTCATGTCCTTGGCTATAAAAGCGTTATTTATCCACACAGGAGTCCTATGTTCTACAAATTCTTTCAGGAATGATGAAAAGGCCGGTCTTTTTACACGAATATATTTCATCATAATGTAACGATAAATGGCAAATTTGTTGACATCCTTTAACACACAAGTCCAAATATCAAGAAAGATGTTGCGAAGGAACTTAAGTTCTGGTATAGTGTGAGAAATGTAGAGGACGTTAGTACCTTTGTCTAGTAGCATTGAGTCAACTTCGTCCTCAATCAAGTACCCGGCATCCGTCCCTCCCTTGTAGTCCTTTCCGAGATGGTTACAATGCAAGTAATCTGCTTGGAAACTTCCTGCATCTCCATAGAGAACCCTCATGTTGTACAGTTTTCTTAGCTGTTTTTCCGAACTCGGGGTTCCTTTGCGCACATCCGGATCAGATATGTTGCCCACCTCAACCCCAAAAACGTCGAACAACTTTTTCATATTCTGGAACCCATCTTCCGCCAAGACAGCGGAACTTGAGATGATATAGATATTCTTCCTCGTTAGAGCGAGTGTAATGCCTAATACGGCAGAAATTAGCGTTTTCCCCTCACTAGTCGCTATCTCCCCAAAACGTCCTATCCCATCGTTGGCGGCGTAGATGAAGGAAAGGATTGTTGCTAGTTGAGCGTCCCTTGGGCAATATCCTTTGATCAACTTGGCGCCTTGGGATATTACTGCGAGCATTTCCTGCCTAACTTTAGGCTCGTTGAGGGATACAGTGGTATCATTGAGGGATTTCAACCAAGTCATAATATCCTGTGTAGACCATTCATTAATTTTCTTTTTGTTGTCCTTTGTGGGTTCCTTGGACAGACGGGATATCTCACGAAGATCCGCTGTCAATTGTGAACGCAATTTATCCTGTTTTTCTGGAGACGGGATATTGTCATCTTTGTTTTTAGTTATAATTGCGTCAACCAGAGGTGTCTTTTTGAGTTCTGTGTTGTCATAGACTGTTTTGTAATTTTCCAGTATTTCCTGAATTTTGGATGTGTCCATTTCGCCCATAATTTTTTTTACGGCGGTTGAGTCAAGCATTAAGTCGTTCTTGATAATTGTTCCCAATATATCCTCAAGCTTGTTAAGTCCCAACTTATGTTCTTTGTAGTATTTTGCAAACATGGTTGCATCTTTGGTCGAAAATTTTTCGTCCACCTCCAGCAGAAGTGACATTAATGTGTCAGATGCAGCAGGGATCTGTAGGCGCAAAGCATACATTTGATACATAACTTATGCTTCCAGTGATCACTTATTTGTAATGTCAAATCCTTACCAATTCCGCATATATAGGAGTCTGAAGTTGCTGCTTCCATTTTGCTACTGGAAGCCGAATCCATTTTGAAATTACCGACGTACGCTGACTTCCATGCAGTTTATATGGATCAATAGTTTCAATCAATAACGATTTCAATCGTTCGGGCGATTTAAGGCTGGGAATTTCGTGGAGAATTTTCTTTAGGAAATCCTCCCAGACTATCTGCTGTTCAGATATTATGAACAAATCAAGCCGCTTCATTACTTCAGAAGTTTCCCACTTATTTAGTTGGCTTGAAACGAGTTCTTCAATTTCTGCTTCTAAGATGTATTTCAGCAAAGTTTGGGGGACATGCTGATTAACTACTTGTATAAGTTTGGGTACAGGAAACTGTCTACACTTGGAGAGGAGGGTTGAAAGATCGTCAAATGGTATTGGGAGCACTAACAAATCTTCGGCTAGCTTAGAAATAAATGTCATCCATTTTTCTAGGCCTTCGACGCCATCTGTTTAGTAAAATCAAATGATTTAAATTTTGTTTAACAATACGATGTCTATGCTATGTATATCAATTTCAATTTACTTTCTTTTCCTACTTCCTGACCCCAAATATCTACCATTTTGGAAAGTTCTCTCCTTTTGCTTTCCTCAACATCTGATACCAATTCCCTCAATAAATTTTGCATGTACGTATGCTGAAATTCTACTTCCCAGTCAGTTAAGGTTTTTAGATTGCTGGGTATTTTGAAACTCGATTCCTCATTATTCACCATTTTTCCAAAAAAATATTCTTCTGTCTTGGATAACAAAGTGCGAAAGTCTCCCACATTTATTAATCCACCAGATTCGGATGGTTCCATGAACGCTTCCAAAATCTTGATTCTTGCACCTATGCTCAAGTCGGATTTTGAAAATTTTACAACTAATTTGCGAACTGAATTTGTCACATTTTCATAACAAAATTCCTTAATCCCAACTAGGTTCATCTCATCGTCCAGATACGTTTTCAGAATTTGTGTAAATTGAGGAAATGAGCAAACTCTACCTAAAGAAATGAGTGCAAGTAAAAATTTCATTTCGACTTCATTATTTTTACGTAGGCCTGCGAAAAGTTCACAGGTGAGTTTAATAGCAGGCATGATCGCTTTATCTATATCGTGAAATCTTGAGCAATTCTTTTCGATTTTTTTGAGTAGTTTCCGCGTGGAAAAAACTTGACTTTGTTCATCAGAACCACTTTCTCCAGAACCAGTTTCTTCAGAATCACTTTCATCTTCTCTTACAAACGCTTCTGCTTCAACTTCTCGTAAGATTTTTCGAAAATATTTTCTTTCCTTTGCAATAATTTGATTCCAAGGCTGATCAAAGTTCTCCCAAGCCTGAATGTAGCAGCTCACGGTCATCTTTTTAGTCCTAGAATTATTAAATTTCCTTTATAAACTTATTTGTTTTATTTATTTTAGCAACACAATCAGAAAATAGTTCAATAATCACAATTGAAATCCCAACGAATTCTGAGTTTACCATATTATACATGGCTACTTTCCCAAATTTACTAAATGATCCTACCGAATTCGCTAGGATTCGACAATGATTTTGCAACGTCTAGCCCTTAAGAACAATGAACTTACTCGATGCTTTTATTAATCATATCTGACAGTCTTTCCTCGTCAATTATAATTTCCTCCAGCTCCGAAATTGTATCTTCGACTGTACACTTAAGTTTATTTAAATGATTTGTGAAAGTTTCTGAGAGTTTTTCGAAATCTTGCAAGCCAAAACTTTTCACGCTTCCAAGGCATTTGTGTACGATAATCTTAAACCTCCCGCTGAGTTTTGATTTATTTTTAATGTTCTTCATAAATAATTCGTCAATTGATCGATTGATCTTTCCCACATCATCGTGATTCAATTCTGCTCCGTGGGAATCATGAAGTTGTGCAAGGCCAGTCACCTTTTCCCACTCGGTTACTAAACGCAATTCAATATCTTGGAAAAAATTAGCTAGCTCTTCTTCGGTTTCATTCCCAGCTGAGGCAATAAATTCTTTGAAGCTTTCAGTAAAATAGGCGAAGGCGGTGTGAAGGCTGTCTGGAGAGGTATGATTAGAACTTAATAGTTCGAGTCCTTGGAGAAATTTGCTTACATCTGCTACCGTCAAGGTTAGTATATTCTGTGGAATCCCTAAATCAATCACTTCCAAACGTCTTAGTACACTTTTCAGTCTCTCCAGCTCGTCCCCTTCATCATGAAGTTTTAAAGTCTTCAAATCTTGTATTTTCCCTTGCTTTAAGGAAAAGTAAATAATTTGCTGCAATTTGAGTTTCACGAAATGTAAATATGTCTCTTTCTCTATGACCAGGTTAGATTCTAGCAAGAGATTTATTTCCCCGATTACAGAATTTTTCCAATCTTCATACTTGTTCCAGTCAAAACGATCTTTTATTTTGTCCAAAATGTTTGTTCTAATTTGTCTCGTCCAGAATCTGATAACAGATTCGTTAAAATCTTTAACTACCTTGCCAGGATATATTTTTTGGGCGTCCTTTTCCTTAAAAAAATTTTGGAGTTTCACTAGAGCCATTTCCACTTCATATAAGTTCGAATAGTTTCCATATTCAAGGGAAAACTGGACTGTCTTCAGGTTTATAATTGACTGAGAATCCGGTTCTACAGACTGGATGCACTTGTCATCAATGAATGATTTAAATTCCTCCATCTTCAAAACATTTTGATCCTGAAGTTCTTCCAAAGCTGTTACCCAGTCGAAAGAAAACTTGTTTTGTGCCTTCATTTCTGCAATAATTTTATCAATGCTGTCCTTTTTTGCTTTAAATGTGTTCAGATGATCCAACATAGTTTCAAAATCATTTCTCCTCCTCAAAGTTTCTTCTAACGAATGATTTAACTCATGAAATATTTCATCCAACGCAGGGGCTTGAAACTTTTTTTTAAACGTTAATTCCACTGCTTCTTTAAGTTTTGGTGCATATAGTTGTTTCCCAATTTGCATTAATTTGTAATAAAAACTATAAAATTTATCCAATTTTTCCACATCACATGTAAAGTTCTCGACTAAGAATTTAAATCTCGAAAATTCTCCGAAAAATTCTTCTGATTCAAATTTGGTAGCTGAAAGTACTGTTTCCACATTACAATTCAAAATTTCTTTGGCGTAATAATTTTCTAAAAGTTCCTTTAACGTCTTAGTCGAATCGGTGTTGTTTGTCAAGTACTTTTCAAAACCTTTTAAAATTTGATCCGGATTTCTGCTTGTGGGTGGCTTAAAGCTTACGTACCAATTTATAATTGTTTCAATAGAAGCACTAAAGGATTCTTCACTCCCGTCGGATCCCATTGCTTTATCTTGATTTGGAGTTCGGTAGAACAAATTTTTCGCCTGGGTGAGTATCTTGCCTTGTGATGTTGCAACAGCTGCCTCGAACAAGGGTGTAAATTTTTCTGTATATATTGGAGTGAGAATGCCCAGCAAGGATTCTTTGTGGGTCAGCGTTAGATTCCGCGTCATCAAAAGGCTGTTAGCTGTAGTTATTCCAGATTTCGCAATTTCGCAGAGATAAGAGAAAACTGGCCTATTTGGGAGAAGCGGCAGGTTTGCATGTTCTACTTCCTTTATTCCTTTAAATGCTCGTGACAGTGAAGACAGTTGTGAACATTTGAAGGTAGTTATCCCCTCAACAACTTCCTGCAGGAATATTGCAGCGGTCCACCAGTTATCCTTGTCGAACATAAACTCCTGTGGGACAGCTCAAATTTTAGATGCAATAATTACTCAAAGTTAACCCAATGACATGACATACGTACCTTCATAAAATCTTCTGCAGCTTTCAACACATCGATGTTTTCAATTTTGGATAAGATTTTTTGTATTTGCGCAGCTCTACTTATTCCATCTGGCGTTCCAATCGCTACGTCGGGTTTTAAGGCTGTTGGAATAAATTCAGTTGTCGGGCTAAAGTTTCCAGCGATATCAGTATTACGAGAAGCTGGAGCTTGTGAAAACCTATTTTCAATGGAAATATTCTCTTCTGCCCTCGTGTTTACAACAGAATTTTCTAATTCCTGTTTCATTTTCTTAAAATCACCATCGGCTTGACTTCTTAGTTCGTCAATTTCCCTTATCTTGTCCAGACTTTTAGCCCTTTTTGAACGGAGGTTGCTTAGCTTCTGCATGCATTCGTTTATCTTATTTGCCTTTTTGTCACCGTCAGCAATCACGTTTACATCAGTTTCGTCTTCTTGTTGAGTTGATTGTTGTCTTAAAATATTCTTGCACTTGGCAGAAGCCGTTACTTGAGTCGCCTTCTGTTCGCAACGAACAATTCCATTGATTCCATCAGATGCGGGCTCTAGGCGCTCATATCCTTTATGCTCCCAACCCTCATAAACCCATCCATCAAAATGTTCCAGTATCAATTTTTCTGAACCTTGTGTCCCTTCAATTTTCTGCCAAGAATGAACTCCACTGTAAGCAATGTACGCCTTCTCTACTCCATGAATCCCCCTTTTCCCACCAACACCGGCTTTACCAGGTTTTCCATCATTACCTTTTGCCCCGTCCTAGTATTAAATTGCATCATGTATATCGCAGAAATGCATAGTATATGCACTATAATAGCTTGAAAACTTACATCTCCTTCCTTACAAAATCTTTCCTTTCCTTGAAATATTTCATATGACCCGCGACATCCACCTTCTCCTCCTTTGCCAATTTTTCCGGAATTCCCACCATTCTCGCCGTTCCCACCCTTCGTTGCCTCATAAACCTGGCATTTCCCGCTAGACGGTGGATTCTCTGGACGGTCCCCGTCCCTTCCTCGTTTCCCATTTGCGCCATCTGTCCCATCACCGGCGTCTTGTCCATCACCACCGTTCCCTCCATCACAAATTATTTCAAGTTTCTCATAGGCCATAATATTTTCTTTGGAAATTATTATCACGTGTCCAGCAGACTCTCCTACGCGCCCTGGTTCACCGTCGTTTCCCTCACAACCAGTAGCTGTTGGTTTCCTAGCCTTCTTCTCCGTGTGGGGCTGCCCATCCAAGCCACTAACATTGATTTCATAAATTGGGTGGTCATCTTTATTCTCTCCAATATAAATTATTTTTGACTCAATATAAATGTTGACTCCATGGAATATCTCCTTCTTTAGATCAGCGTCAATGGTTAAGGTTTGACTTCCGCGAAACTGTAGGACAATTTCCTCATCCTGATAACGTTCTCTGAAGAGATCCAGCCATTCCAGTAATTTTGGAGTGAGGCATTGACTTAGATAAAGATGAGCAGCTTCAAATTTCAAAATGGTCTGCAAACATATTTGGATTAGAAATTTCATATTTAAATCAACTTCTTGATCGCACCCACTCGACTCCATTAATAGGATGTTTCCTATTACGGAAAAGGCATAGCGTCGTACTAATTCCGAAAAGACTTAAATGCACTCGATGATTAATTCTGAAAAGACCTAAGTGCATAAAAATAACATGTAAAAAGGCTGCACTTAGGTCTTTTCAGAATTCAGCATCGAGTTCATTTAAGTCTTTTCAAAATTAGTACGACTATATAAAGTTACAAATAAGTATACAGAAAAACGAAATCCATGATATATTCTACTTACTTCCTCAATTTCTGGTTCAATCAAGCGAGGTGTAACCAATTCCATTAGATGGTTAATAACTACTTTCAAGCTCTCTTTGGGAAATTCACCGCTGCATATAGCATGCGGAACAGTGCCCTCTGGAAAGTTCCCAACAAGGAAGGCAAAATTTCTAAGATTACCCTCCTCCAGTCTATTCCAATATAGTAGTACTCTGGCAAGCGAGTTCGGCTTGTGAGTTTCCAAATAGGACATGAGAGTGCGTATGAATACGGCCCTTCTTAGGACTTGAGTTGCTCGACCCTAGGTTAAATAAAATGTATCAACTCCACCCCGAGCAAAACAACCTTGACACGCCTTACCCCAATAATTCGACGAGTTGAGTTCAATCTCAATGTGACCAACTTCTCGGCTAATGTCCTGTGAACAATTTCCTCCGTAACGTCACGAATTGCTCCACTCGCTTCCCGTTCAATTTTTGCCTTATTCTCCCGAATTATCCGAAATATTGTTTCCACCGCTGATTTTGTTTCATCCTCCATCATTGCTTTTAATTCGTACGCTAACATCCTGGACGAGTTTGGGGAGAGGCGTTCCTGCCTTGGAAGATTTTCCCCTAAGAACAAAAAAACATGAAGGTTATAAATAAATTTAAATTTAGAAATTTACCAGTTCATTTATTAAATGTGTACCTTCACACTCCATCAATAATTTACACAAAACATTGTTGCATTCCTCAAAGCGTATCCCAACTGCTTCAAATACTTATATAAGATTCAATATAAGATTTTGGGACGCAACGAGTTTGTCGTGAATTTCCAAATATTTTTTTCTGATTAGGAAAGGCTCTTTTTCTCCTTCCAAGAGTTTTCTAAAATATGTTTCAAAACTGCCTGAATCCCGCAAGTCTTCCAGAAGGCTTTGACCCCGGGAGTCAGGGTCAGGATACCGAACACGGCGATGGAGAATGAGTTGAAATTTTCCATCCGGTTTTTCATACAGGTGGCAAAAATTATCAGGAAAATTATTGTCCCGAGTTTTCCAGACTTTTACTGCAATTCGTTTTCCAAAATAAGAGGAAATTGCTTCCGTTATTTTTTCTTCAGACGGGTCATGAATAAGTTGTTCAAGTTGGTGCAAAAATTTGGTGTTCTTCTTTGTTTCTTCTTCACTATGCTTATTGTATTTCGTAACCCTCTGCCATTCATGTAGATTCAAAGCTTGGAAATCAATGTGGGCGTCATAACATTGGGAAGCAAATTTGAGGAGGGATGAAATATAGGTCAAGGTTAGAGAGGAGTTGGTGATCGAATTCCCATTCTCGTCTTCTGAGCAGTCACTGTCCACCAAGACGAAAGGGGTAAGGTGAGAAAAGTTTGTAGGTGATATGTCTTCCTCCTCAGTTGCCAAGTCCATGGCCTTCCTTGCGGCATTAAAATGAAGATTAAATTATTCTAATCAAAATCTCCTTAATATGAACGGTAAAGTGTGTACTTTATTCATGGAAATATTTATGTAGTAACCTTACCGGTGCAGTTTAGCTCTGATTGTGTCAGAGTATGTACACGCCGACTAGACTTGGATAAACAACCGCCCTGAATAATAGATAATATTATTCAATTAACTTAAACAATTGAATTACTCAGTTTACCAAAATCATTTTTTACATGCAGACTTTTCTGAATTTTAATTAATTTTATAATTAAAGAACAATAATCGTTTCACGAGGTATATAAAAACGTAAGAGGAAGTGACAGCAGATAAATTGATTTGCATTAGGTTTACAAAAAAGATGTTATTAGTAAGTAAACTCTAATCATTATTTAGTTATCAATATCTAATTGTCAGCAAGGGGTGGAAGTAGGTGCATTTGAATGAAGGTGTAACTTACATATAAAAATTTAAGTAGTCCCGACATTTGATATGACAGTCGTAAATACATGCCGAAGATTATCTACATAAGTCTACGAGATAAGTTTGGCTACACCCTGTCTCCATTTCATATGTGTAGAAATTATTATATTTAGAAATTGTATTTAGTGAAATTTGTTACCTGACGCAGTGCAAGAATACGATGATGGTTATCGTACCTATGTATGTATTAGTGGGTATGTATGTATTGAACAATTCACAACCAGCTGTAGAAAATCGGGTGTAATATGACCCACCCACTCTTTTGTCGTCTTTACGATTGGCTGAAAAAGATCGGGGTCCCGCACAGAGATTGCATCTCACAATGGCCCCAAGGTCCATTTATAAGCTCCTTGTCCAAATTATTGTCAGTTTTTGTAAATCGAGATTCATGACTCATATTGTGTAGAAAATATGTTTAATCATGTTCATTTATTTTTTCGGTTTGAAAAATTTGACAAATATTTGGTTGCAGCAGCTTATTAGCGGCCCTTCGGGGCAGTGGGTGGGTCATATT